ACCTTCAGGGTCCCCCGCCACCGCCCCCTCACCCGCACCAGCAGCCCCACAATCCTCACTACCCCAGCCTGCAGCGGGACATGTTCATGAAGGCTGAGCCCCTGATGCCACCCTACGGCATCGGGCAGGGCATGGCACCTGCTGACCTGCACCATGCCCAGCAGTCGCAGATGCTGCACCAGCTACTCCAGCAACATGGAGCAGAGTAAGGGCTCAGGGCACTGGGGTTTTTCTGGGGTTTTTTTGTGATATCTAAAGGGTGGGTGTCAGGAGGATAGGACCAGACTCTTCTCAGTTGTGCCTAGTGACAGGACAAGGGGCAATGGTCACAAACTGGAACACAGGAGGTTCAACTTAAACATGAGGAAAAACTTATTTCCTGTGAGGGTACCAGAGCACTGGACCAGGCTGCCCAGAGAGGTGGTGGAGTCTCCTTCTCTGGAGACATTCAAAGCCCACCTGGACACATACCTGTGTGATCTTCTCCAGGTGATCCTGCTCTGGCAGGGGGATTGGACTGGGTGATCTTCAGAGGTCCTTGCCAACCCCTGCCATGCTGTCATTCTTTGATTTGGGGAAGGGAAGAGATGAGGTGAATGGAAACTGAGGGCTTGCAGAATGCATGAAGAAAATGACTGGGTTTAGCTGGAAGTTAAGGAGCGTGCCCTGGTTCTATGGGAGCGAGCTGGGGAGATATCAGGGTGGAGATCACCCAAAGTGTGGGGCAGGGATTTGCAGTGCATGGCTCAGCTGTTGGGTGGTGAGGACAGACAAGAGGAAAGCAAAATGTTGCTCAGTGCACGGATGGCACAGAGCTTGGCATTCACAGGATGGGTGGGCAGAGCCTCATGGAAGAAGATGGTGATAGTCCTGAAAGATCCTGTGGCTTCCTGCATGAAGATTTTGGGTTTTATATGAGATCTCAGCTTTTTCCCGGTCAGGGGCTGTGGGGCTGTTACCTCCCCACCTCTTGCTCTCCTGCTCAGCCTTTGCTCCCCTGTGGGTCTCTGCAGCCTCCCCGTGCACCCTGCCAAGAAGCGGAAACACTCCGAGTCGCCCCCCAACACCCTCAATGCACAGATGCTCAACGGGCTGATAAAACAGGAGCCAGGTATGGGGTCTGTGCCGCTCAACCCTGACCGAGTCCAAACGCCTCCTTGGCACCAGCCAGGAGCGCTCTCACCAGGTACGTGGTATTTGACCTTCCCCCCCATCCCTTTCCCCTTAATAACCCCCAGCATGCAAACCCCTGCTTGCCAGCCCGGGCACCCCGCTGGGCCGGGTGTTTGGGAGGTACGTGGGCACTGCAGGGTGTCAACCGGTGGGGTTCACCCCAGCTGAGACCCCAGGAGGCAAGTAGGGCAGTGAGTTCAGCCTGGCCCAGATCTTCTGCCCGTGGTGGTGCCCCGGCAAGCCTCAGTCACACAGACAATGCCAGTTGCCTCCTTGTGCTCTTACCCAGCTGGACAGTCTGTCGGAGTGATTGAAATTGGTATTTTCCCCTCACCCCAGGGCTGATTCAAGATAACGACAGCTTGAACGGCTCCTACCTGGATCCCAACTACCAGTCCATAAAGTGGCAGCCACATCAACAGAACAAGTGGGCAACTCTGTATGATGCCAACTACAAAGAACTGTGAGTAATTCACCCACCTTTGAAGAAAGTCAGATTCCTCTTTCGTGTATCAGTGGCAGGGGACTGGGGTTGGGGGGATCATACTCAGAAGATGGGACAAGGACCTTCCTGGGCTTCCCCTTGTCCTCTCCTGTCACTTGCTGATCTCTGCTTGCCTATGCTGTGGTGGAGATACTCTGCCCCCTGTACCTTTGGCATTGGGAAAGTTACTCCTCTCCACTTCTGCAGCACTGATGGAGGATGAATAAATGGGACTGGTGCTGCAGGAGCCAGCAGAAGACAGTTGAGCAGCTTTGGTGGCTGTTCAGCAGCCATTCAGACCTTGGTCTGCCATAGAGGGTTGAATTGGCAAACTCAGCGTTGTCCTGAGCATGGTTTGGATCAGTTGCACCCTTTCCTCCCACCCAGGCTTACCAAGGTCCTGGATTTAAAAATAATTACTAGGATTTGCTAGACGATGCATAGCATGGATGACTGGAGGTCATCTAGAGCCACTTCAGCACAGCTTGAGAGCAGCATGAAAAGGAGCTTAAGGAGGAGGAGGAGTGGGAGTGGTTGATGGGCAGTGGAGGAAAGGAAGGGAGAAAGGAAGAGGGAAGGGATTGAGGAAAGCTGGGAAGCCAGGAGGGGCAGAGAGGTGGCAGAGAGGGAAGGAGAGGGGCCAGAGAGGAAAGCTGGGGCTGGGGAGCAGAGAGTGACTGATGGGAAGGTGGGCTGGAGGGGCTGAGCAGGGCTGGAGCTGAAAGGAGAGTCTGGGGCAGAGGAGGGTGGAGGCAGCGCATGGACAAGCTGTATAGCAAAAGAGCAGTGCTCAGAGGAAACCGCTCTGGATCCTCCCTGCATTCCTCGGGGGTGACAGAGAGCTGGCAAGCAGCAGGCTGGCTTCCAGGAACCACTCACTGAGCAAACGAACCCCCCACCATTTCCCCTCCTCCTCTCTCTGCTGGGCCGGTGGCTGGTAGGGGTCCTCTCAGGACAGAGGAGAGGGTGTTCTGTTGTCGGCGATAACAACCCAAGACCGTTATCACACCTTGCCTGGATTCTGCTCAAGATGGGAGCCAAGGACCCCAGGCAAGGTCAGTCATGGAGGCAGAGATCTGCAACGTGCAGGGAAGCTGCCACTGCAAGTCCCAGCCCTCCTGCACACAGATCTCCTGCCCAGCCCTAGTCCTTGTGTCCTCTGGTGGTGACTGGGACTTGCAGTGGGTTGTTCCCCCACAGAGAAGTGGCTGCTGAAATTGGAGACCTCTTAGGTGACATCCTGCCGTTTGCAAAGACTCTGTGGCTGCTTCCCCCACCACAGCAGGAGAGGGGTAATTTGTGGAGGTGGTTACTTCTGTTTTACTGAACTGTTTCCGTAGGGAAGCATCTCCCACCTTCAGGTGGAATATCAACTACTTCTGGGAACTTGTGAGCAGCTCCACAGGCCAGCCCTTCCCCTGCTCTCTACCATCAGTCTGCTTTCCTGTAGACTGGGGACGGGGGATGCTAAAAGGCTCTCACTGAGCCTTACTGAGTACATACACACTGCAGTCCCCAATTCCTGCTCTCCTACACAGGGCAGTGCTCACAGTCAGCTCCCACCTCCTCTGAGCGCTGTCTGGACACGTCATCTCTATCGCTTGGTTTTCAGCCAGCGCCTGGGTGTCACTGGGCAGTTGTGACACTGCTGTTTTCCTACCTGGCAAAGCCACCTTCGGCTTTTGTTGCTGTTCTTACTTCTCCCAGGCTCTGTTTTTGTGCCAGAACTTCCTCCAACTGTGAGTCTTGGTGCCTTTGCCCCACGTCAAAGGACTTCTGAGAAGTGGAGATGCCAAGAGAAGTGAGCCCCACTTCTCTAACTCAGGCAGTGCTCTGTCCCTGGAGCGGCCTCTCTTCCACCATCAGTCTCTGCGGGGCTTTCATGCTGTGGCAGAAGCACAAATGCACCTTGTGTAGTCAGCAGGGTCCAAAGAGCTCTGCGTGTTGTAGGAGCAGACCTTTCGCATGGCCTCGCTTTTCTCTTCGACATAATGAGTCTCCCTTTTCCTTCCATCTCACTGTTTACCTGCGCTGGGTAAATGGTTTCTCACCTGAAACACGTCACAGCTCTTTCAGCTTGTCACGGGCCGTGTCCAGGTGTTACAGTCCCTGTAACATCCAGAGATTTGCTGTGCACCCTGGTGTCGTACAGGCAGACTGGCAGAGGCAAACTACACAGTATTTTCTGCTAGGCATGGAGAAGTCACTGGAGTGCTGCAAACCACAGATTTTAACTTCTGCAAACCCAGCCCTGCTCTGCCGTGTTCTTTGGGTCTGTGCTTGGGATCGCTTGCCTAATACCCGCTTTTAGGATTTAGGGTGAAAGCCAGAGCAAACCTACTTTTGTGGCATTTAGGTCATCGACCCATTGTGTAATGAATAAATTCCTTTTAACTGACTTCATGTAGATTTTAGGAACCCACGTGCAGTTTGTTGTGGTGCTGGATTTGACCAGAATTAAAGGTTAAGATCAAGGGTTGATCGATTCATTTTTTTGTTATGCACTACCTGAGTGGACTCTTCCTCCTTTGTGGTGAGTTTGAGGCCAGGTAGCTTGAGGAGAGCCTGTACAAGCTGAGCCTACATCTCTTTCTAAATGGAATATCGCTTAGTTCTCCTGGTACAGCACTGCCCCAGAACACATCTATGAGAAACTCCAAAGACTCCATCTTCCCTTCCTTCTTCTAGAATGGCTTGTTTGTTATTTTAGGTTGACTTAAGTTTTAGCAAGTAGGAGTCTCCTCCTTCCCTTCTGCCTTTTGGGTATACTCAGCATGTGAGCAGGCATCTCTGTCTCTTCGAGATCCATGAGTATGTCAACAATTTACTTTCCTCTGAGACCGTAAAGCAAGGACCAGCTGTTCCCGGTCTGTTTTCTGCTGAAAGCTGTCCTCTAGTTTGTAAATGCTCCTACAAGGAGCATATTTTTTCCCCCTGTGATCCAGGTGTCCACAACCTATTCACTGCCCCAGGAATTTGAATTATCTGAAGCATCTGATTTTTTTCCTACTCTTGTTCTTAAGAAAAGAGACCGGAAAGGTAGGTGAAGGAGGGAGCCCGAGCCTTTAGGATGCCATGAGCCCATAGTTCAGGTCCTTACCCCGGCGTGGTGTTTCTCACTAGTCAAGACCTCATCAGTATTTTAATGGCGATTGTTGGGCTTGTGGAATAATTGCTTTGTCAGTATTTTATTTAATATATTTTTGAAACTGTACAGAATAGTTTATGCTCATGCCTGTGGATTTATGTGCAACATTCCATGCTAAGTATAATCTTACAGGGCAAAAAATACAATTAAATTCTATTCCATGTTCCTCCTCTTGCACACAGAAAATTGAGTCCCTTAGTAGTCTTCCTCTGTCAAGAGCAGGACGCAAATGTCTCAAAGCCCGTCATGTTTGGAGTTTGATCAGCTGAGAAGGAGAAGATTTTTCCGGATTTGAGGTATAGATGATACGGTCTTTCTGCTGTGAATGAACTTCCTGCAGGGAGATGCTGAGTTTGGTTGAGATCCAAGAATCCGTGTCAACCAATGGTACCACCTTGTCTCACTACACCGCATTTTTGGGGGAAACTCAAACTGCTGGGCTCTTGCCAGCCTTCTGACAGGACTTTGTATGTACTTTCCCTAAAAAAAAGCTGTCTGATCTGCTCAGCAACCAAAGAGTACTTCTCAGGACAAACCATGAAGTGATACCTCCTGGGAACAGGTCAAAGTTACATGGTCCCAAACTCTTTGGCTAAGGATGAGTGAAAGGCGTGTGTTGCACCCAGCTCACAGCATCCCCCTTGCCATAAGGTACCTTTGGCAGTCAGAATATGCAAGAAGCTGAACCCAGCAGTGTAGCTGAGCAGGTTCACCAGGTGGATCTACTGGCAGCCACTTGCCTTCCCCTTCCACCAGGTTGTCCTTCAACGCACTCTGTCCTTTCTTTCCAGTTTCTTGCAGAGAGGCTTCCTGAAGACCTAAATGCAATCTCATTAGTGCTGGCTGATGGTAAGACTTAAGGAGACCTTTTCTTCCACCACTTCACACTCAGTGAAGGCAGTAGTGAGTGGCACTGAAAGTTTTTTGTTCCTCAGAAGTTTTCTGCTCTGATTTGTGATGACCAATAGCCCCGTGAGAGTTTTTTCCAACTTGTATCAGCAGCATTCAAGCCCATTTAACAGCTCTCTCTTCTTACGCAGTCAGTGTAGCTATCATGTCAGATTGTATTTGTATCTTGTGCCCATGAATATGTGGAAAAATTCATCTCTGCTCAGTCATTTTCCTGGCAGAAATCTACACAGGAGATGGCCCTTCAACCATTTCTCTCTTTCTGCTGTTCTGGGCTATATCTTGAATCCAGGCTCCTTCTCAGCCATTGCCATGACTTGATGAGATGGGGACAGCCTAGGGGTGAACTGAACTAATTCTGCAGTTTCTAAGTAGCTTTTCTGCCTTCTGAGAGACCTATACAGTGAATTTTGTTGTGTGAACAACAACATTAACAACATGAAATTTCCCATCCCCAGGCAGGTGTGGAGAAGTAGAGAAGGGAAGCAGGGCTCATAGGAACTACGTGGGTTTAGTTTTGACATAGACTTCCTAGGAGACTGGATTAAGTAAATGGAGGAAAGGAAGGAAGGAAGGGTAGCTGCATGGATTCAAGTGGAGGAAACTGAAAATGTGTGTCTTGGCTTGCTGGGCTTGTGTCGCAGGCTTTGCTGTTGTGGGCTAAGGAATTTGTGTTGGTTGAGGAACACCAAAGTCTCTGGATTAGTTTTATTGATAACGTGTTTCTTTTTGGCCTTTTGCACTCATTTTGTGGTTCTGGACTCACTGAACATTCAAAAGGGTTAGCTGGTTTCCAGCAGCGGTGCCGAAGAGGCCTGGAACTAGGCAGTTCACTAATTTACTCCTGGGAGCAGGAGTAATTCATCCCCCTGACAGCATGCTCTGATAAATGCCAGCAGGCTCCCTCCTCCCTCTCCCAATTTGTTTACAGCTTGAGGGAAGGCAGCTGGCGATGGGTAGTGCCGTGCTCAACAGAAACATCTCCATGCTGAGGCCAGAGCCGCTCTGCTCTGACTCTGGGAACTGGGCTGGTGTTCTCATTCCCCCAAGCAAACCGGTGCTCTCCGTGCATTCTCCTCTGAAGCTAAACCTATGTTTGCACTCCTTGGTTGGAAGAAATGTCCTTATAAACAGCACCAAATCCAGCCTTGCTGCAGATCCTGGATCTCACCAAGGAGATAGAGACCAGCATGATGTGGTCCAGTCCTGCTAGGACGTGTTACGGGTTAAGTGACAGTGTGTTGGCCCTGTTGGCCAGCTTGGCTAATCCCATGGTGATGGATCACTGAGGTCTCACTCTCTCATGCCATGAGTGTATCTCAGGCAGCTGAAGGGACCACATATGGTGCTGATCCGTGGACGCACTGGTGGGGTGTGTTAGTCTAATGTGGGCTGGGTGAGATGGCAGCATTATGCTGCTCAACTACAGCTTCCTCCGTCCTGGTGTTTGTATCCTGGAAGAGAAACAAAGCAGAGAGTGAATGGAATTAGTGAGTGGTCCATGAATTAGGGAGTCTCCAGATGTTATCTCTTGGGAGTGGTTGAGATATTGGGGAACTTTGAAGGAAGGAGGAGAGAAATGGGGAAGATTTTTCTTCCAGAGAGAAGCCAATTGAGGCAAGCTGGACTGTGTGATCTTTAAGGTCCCTTCCAACTCAAACCATTCTATGATTCTATTTGCGTATCCCTCTGACTGTCCTGCTCTTGGCCACAGATCTCAGTACAGTTCCCTTTCCATCAGAGCACATTTCTGCTTGCAGTGCCTTTCACTTTGCTTTGCACTTTCGTGTGGAGAGCGATGGTGCTCCCTGCTCCTCTGAGCATGGATGCCAGACGTGGTGGTGGGGAGTTTGTAACCTTGCACTCTCAGTCGAATTGGGAGAAATCTCCCCTCCTCTGATCCCAACCTTCTGAGTCCTGCCTTAATCTGCTTTTGTCAGGAGGATGCGTTTTGGCTAAAATAATCCGGTTGACCCCAGAACTTTTATTCCTGACCCCTGCCCTCTAACCCCTGCACTTTCCCTGGGAAAAGCCAGCATGGCTTTGGCTGCCCCCAGGCTGTTGACTTGTCAGTGGCTGGTGTCGTCCCTAATCCCAGGAGTCCCTTCTGCCTCGGGGTCACCTGCCCTACCTTCTCCTACCACCCCCATTCATGGCAGCCACTCATTCAGAAAGAGCATCTCAGCAGGGGTGTGCTGCCGGTCTGCTGCCTGAGGACCGAGTCCAGGGCAGGGTGCTGGTGACTTTAAGGTCTCTGTGGGTTAAGATGAAGGGGAGGATGGGGTTTTTTTATAAGTTGGGGTTTTTTTAATAAAAAAGGACGCCACTACAGTCCCTGTGGTGCCTCAGCTGGTGATGTCCCTGCACCACGTGGCAATGGGGGAGAGGGTTTGCTGCTTCCAGGTGGGATTTACAATGTGAAAGTACAAAAACCCCAGAACAGGAGATCCAGAGATACTCCACTCTGTAAACTGTCTGCAGCAGGGGACAGGCTGAGAGCAGCTCCTTGGCTCAGCATGACATGATGGGCTGAAGGCAGAGGGCTGGGGAGATCTGTGACTTCTCTGTTACCTGGAAAGCAGCTTCTTGCCTGTGTTCTACCCCAGGGATCCTGCTTTGGGGGATGACACCAGCCACAGCCATCAGGAAAACTCAGAGAAAAGGAGCCTCTAAAAAGGGGACTCTAGAGAGACCAGGCATTTCTAGAAGACAGAGGAGGGGGAGCCTGACACATGTTTAGCAGCCATCAGTTTGAGTGAGGTTAACCAGAGCATGTTCTGGAAGTGTCCGTGGTTTGGAAGTTCAGTCGGTCTCAACCTCTTCTCTGCTTTCTCTATTAAAAACCAGTGTGGCAAATGGTGAATACCTGGTGGTCCTGGGCAGACAGAGGCAGAGAGGGTGAATCTTGGTGAAAGCAATCAGGAGGGGCTCCAGCACCCCTGGGGTGAGCACAGAGGGTGCTTGGGCCAGCCCATACCACAGCTCTCCATCAAGAAAAGCCAGACAAAGAATACAGGGCTGAGGCTGGGAGGAGGGTGAGAGTGGAGGGGAATTCCTCTCGTGCTTCTGGGCTAAGGTAGTGCTCTGCTCCCACCATCTGGTTTGTGTTCGGGGCACGGCACGGCAGCCACAGGTCCCTCGGGTGCGAGAAACGAGCAGTGGTTGCTCACAGTCATCCCGACATTGTTCATGGCTGCCTGGAAATAGCCACAGGTTTCATCCCCATTAACCCCCCAGGAGTGTATGGGGAGGATGGGTTTCTTCCCAGAAGAATAGAAGGGACACCAAGGGAGCAAAGGTGTATCTCCTGCTTCCCAAAGTTCTGCTAAGGTCTGCCTCATCAATTGGTGTCAGTCTGTCAACCTCTCCTCCCATCCCTCTGGGCAGTATCTGTCTGTCTGTCTGTGTAAGTCAGAAGTGGTTTGCTTTTCTGGAAGAGCGCTCCATAATTTTTAAGCCTGTTGTCAAAGACTGGGCTGAGTTCCCCTTTACCTCATCCATAGTTTTTTTAATTAAAAACAATAGGATTTTGGTGTTCTGCTAGAACTGCTGGTTGGGGAGGTGGGATGAGAGGAATCTCCTTCCTCCTCTGCATAGGGCGAGCAGTGTCCTGGGGGCCCACCAGCCCAGGTCTGGGTTTTTGGATGGTGAGAAAAAGGGGACTTGCTACAAAGGCCACATAGTTCCCTCATTCCCATGGTAACCAGCCCATTAAGGAGATGTAGATTAAACCTACCCAGCTGGTGTGTGTTTATCGGGCAGCCAGGGCCCCCTCTTCCTCCTCCTCCTCCTCCTCTGGATGTGCCCACTGGGAGCTGGGAGTTTTTCGAAGCAGCCGGCACAGGTGG